GTTTCAGGCCACCTGCATATGTGAAAATGACCCGCCAATGTCGGCGCTCAGTAGCTGCCTCAATGGTACGACTCAAATGCTCCATTCATAGGGGGAAGATATAGGGCAAGAGAGGACATCCTTGTCTCAATCCTCGGGGAAGGAGTGAACGGGTCTATCTAAAAACCATTCCAAAGGACCTGCTTAGTCACTATAGTAATACACTGCATGATCACCTCGACTAATTAATGTGGGAAACCAACTAGCTCCAATTTTTCGTGGACAAACTTCCAATCAAGGAAGTCATAGGCTTTGGCTATGTCGATCTTGCGATCATCTAGCCCGTTCGACCCTTCTTCATCCTCATTGAACATTTCCTGGACAACAATGATATTGCTAGAGATATGTATGTTGGACATGAAACTAGTATGCATCATATGCAGAAAACCCTTCAACCACAACTTTTGCGATTCACCAGACACTTAGATAGAGTCTTGTAGACTACATTTCACAATTCGACGTGACAAAATTCCTCGATCAAGATGGGGCTCTCGTTCTTCAGAATAAGCATAACCAATGTCTCATTGAATCCCCCCACTCTATTTGGATTAATGAAACACTCTCGAATAAACTCAAAGAAGGTTGTCCCTACAGTTTCCCAGTTATGCTAGTAGAAGAGAGGTGGGTAGCCAATAGCCATCCTTCCCTGGCGCCTTAAAAAATCCCATGCTCTTGATTGCCATTGCCAACTCTTCTCGAGAAATGGAAGCCACCAAGTGGGTTATGCAATCTACCTGTAGTGACTCAAAGGTCGCTGACAACTCAATATCCTAATAGTGTGAGGATGTATAGAGCTCCATGAAAAGGTCATCTGAGTGAGCTTTGAGCATGTCGTCATATGATATTCATGTTCCATCCTCGCTCCTATGGCTTGCAATTCTATTGAAATATTTGTGAAGTAATATGGAAAGATGGAAGTAATGAGTATTCTAGTCACCTTCAGCCACCCACCTGGCACCCGAATTTTGGAACCACAAGAGTTGTTCTTGCCACAACGTCGACCCCAAACTCTCCTACAACGCATGTTCCTCCGTATAACCCTCTGTAATAGTGTGGGGCTATTTACATTGCTCCAAATGATGCAAATGATGAGCTAGCTTGCTCTTGCGTCGAAGCATGTGACAAAGACCTTGTGATTTCATTTGGCAATACCCTAGTCAGATTGGTGGTCTATGGTAGGAAATCTGTATGCTTCTTCCATTCCTCATTCAGAAGACACGAGAAGTCATCATGCCCCATCCAGGAAGCAAAAAAAAAAAAAAGGGTTTGTGACCAACCTAGGTTCGAGTACCCACCTTCTAGAGAAGAATAGTCTTGTGATCGGAGTCAATTATTTCCATGTGTCAGATGATCGTACTGGGAAACCGCAGCAGCGATTCAGCAAACTCCCATTGCAGACTGCTCTATCAAGTCATTGGTAGAGGTTCTTCCACTTATAGGTGACTCTTGGGCTTGTAAAACTCACTTAAAAAAGCTCATTCTCTGCCAAACATTGTTGAAATGCCCTACAACGCGCCTCCTGGTAGGATGCACCACCCATCCGCTCCAACACCTCGAGGATGGAATTGAAATCCCCAGCTAAGATCCAAGGTAGAGAGGTCGTCCTGGATAGCTGTCGTATAATTTTCCAAAGCTCATGACGCATAACAACATTTGGATTCCCATAAACCGCATAATATATCTGAGATATCAGACCCCGATCCTTGACAGTTCCATGCTAGGATATCTAACATAACTCAAATAAACAAACACAAAGAAGATAAGGGAGGAGGACTTCCCTCGCATTCACTAAGGTTGTATATTATTAATGCACGTGAGGGACCTGTTTGTCCCCCAAAAGAGTAATTATCCTTCCACCAATTTGACCCCAATCCTAAGTCTAGAGGCTTCCAGGCTTCAATGTCTTCCATCTTTATCTCGCGACCAGTGCTAGGGATGGAGGAAAACAAAGCCTTCCTCGAAGGATATTTCTGTCCTGACTTCACCTTTGTCTTGTTTCCCGCTGGCTTGGGTTTCACTTGCTAGGGTGTGTGAAGTGGTTGCGGTTTTGAAGGAGCTCTAATTCCAGCTTGGCTGACGTGCACTTGGCTATGAAATTCAGTAAGATATCATTGACTAGGAGCACTAGTACCTCGACCAGCCCATGCTCCAACACGTTCCTCAAGGGAGGAATGGTGAAAACTTTCCCCGATTAGATCACTCAACTCCAACAACGTGGCAGGATTTTATCTAACGGCTTGGGGCGAGATGGTCGGGGAAGCTAAGGCCGAAGTGGAATTCTTGTCATGTGGGTTTGTTACATCAATGGCCATGGGCGATGCCTCCACCACAAAAATATCCTCATCAACAAGTAATCCTCTTTAGAGGCTATGCTCAAAAAGCATGACCCAACGCAAGCATTTGGTTTGCCACCATATCCGACACTGCCATATAGTGTAAACAAGAGGAGATGTGAAAGAGGTCACCTCCGTGACTAGGGGCTTCTTTTTCCCTTCCGCATTCACGATTTGGTAGTCATCCATTTGCCAAACATTTTAGGAGTTGCACCCTCTCCCACCTGTTCTGAGGGAGTTGGAGTCATTGTGGGTGTTGGCTGAAAAATGAGGGACATCCTTTCGTCGAGTGGTCGTACCTTCTACATTTCGTACATCTGAGTTGAAGACCCTCAAACTCAGTGTATTAGTTTTTTCCCTCTACCTTGTACTGGGAAATGAGAGACTTGGTGAGATCGACCTCCACACAAACATAACGTCCCCGATTGAAGAATATAAAGGATATTTCAAGAAATGTTTGCATACTTAGAAAGTCACATTATGGTTTTAAACATGCTACAAAAATGGGCTAGCTTAGCTTAAATAACACCTAGTATGTCATGGTTTCAAACAATCAGTTGGAGATTATTCTATCTTTCTGCCTAAGTAACAATGGTGATATTGTAATTGGAAGTTAAAATCCTAAGACTTTCAAGGCAGCGACAGAATCTGGAAATAAATTTTTTAGATGAAAACTTTAGGAACTGTGCAATATTTCCTATGATTGTGAAATAAACATAAAATATGAGGAATTCATGCTTCTAAAAGGAAATGTTGTATAAAATTTTTAAAGGAAACTTGTTTACATGAATGTATGCTAGTCAAAACTCCATCAAATGTTAACATGACCTATCAACCAAAGATGGAGACACTTATTTAGACATAAAAAGCTTCAAGCACATGGTGGATCAACTTTAGTATATAAATAGCACAAGATCTACATTACATATGAAATGCATTAGCTTTGTCAGTTTTATGTTCTATCACAAAGCATTGCAAATGGTATTTAAGTATATCATAAATCCACTTGGAAAAGGCTTGTTTTGCCTATTAATATTGATAAAATACGGTTTCACAGTTTCTTTAGGAAACTAGATATCTATCCTATTTATTATTAGGATTATTATTGCTAGGCTAGAAGTATTTTAGTCAAAATTGATTTATTAGTAGGGTTTCTCAGTATTCTGTATAAATATGTACTTTGCAAAATTGATTTAGTCAAAATATTAGGATTTAGTCAAAATTGATTTATTATTAGGGTTTCATGCATAGGTAATCAAGAGTAATATTAAAGACAATCTCTCGCAATCCTCCAAATTATCCTCTCTCCCTATCCAAGCCGCGAACCATTCTTCTCTATTCTTCCCTAGTTCTTCCTCCATTCTTCTCAAAACCGCAATTTTATCACCATTTTCACAATGTGTTAATCTATATTATTAAAAGTTCCTATTTGTGTAAACACGAACAGCTCAATACAGCAATATCCCCTATCCCCTCAAAATGATGGTGACATAGAGATAGAATTTTTTATGAATAGAAATAGAAATTTTTGAAATCCAAATCCATAAATATAATTCCATAGAGTGGTTTGGTGAAAACATCAACAATCTGATCGTTAATGAAACATAAATTAGGTGCGCTAGTTATGAAATGTGGGGCGTTATTTTCTTTGGGAGTGTGATTTGTGTTAGTAATGGTATATGATTCATGACCGAGAAGTATTGTCTTCGAATACTGATGACCTCCATCTGTTCTGTTATGCACATGGTGTCTGGACCAATATAAACTTCAAACTCTTCTGAGTTGGCTTTCGTTTGAGGGATGTGTCAGTAAATGACATATGATCCATAATTGAACACCTCCCAACAACTCTAGTTATTGGGGTTAACTGGTTCTTGACATGGTATCAGAGCCATCTATGGCTGAGAGATTTTCTATTAGAATCTCAGTGACCCAATATATTATGTTAAGCACATAGTATCAGGACCTGTGCAAACCAGTGTTATGAAAACCGGGCCGGACCGGCCAGTTAGGCCGGAAAAACCCGGACCCGGGCACTGATCCGGTCCCGGAAGCATAAAAGCGGCAGGAATCCAACGGGCCGGCGTTTGTCCATTTTTGCTTTCGTTTTTTCAACTGAAAAGACAGATCTGTAGCTAGCTTTTGCTTTCTTCAATTGAAATATTCAAAAAGGGTTAATTGCATGGTTGGTCACTAACATTACAAAAAGCGTTCATGTTTGGTCACTGAAAAAATTTAAATCCATTTGTGGTCACTAACTTTACAAAACCAGTTCATTTATGGTCACTCTCCGTTAGCTGTCGTCCAACGCCGTTAACGGCCTCCGTTAAGTGATGACGTGGCTGACGGATTCGCCTAATCAGCACCTTTTGACCCTAAAATTGACCGCCACGTCATTTAAACCCGCCATGTCAGCTAAACCTAACCAAACCTAACCAAACCTCTACCCAAACCCGAACAGACCCAACCCACCCACTCATCTATGTTATTTATGTCGCTTTCTGGGCAGAAGAAACCTATCATCTTCCCAAAACCTTCGCAGCTCTGTTTTCTTCTCATCCCTTTCTCCTCTGCTCATCGCTTTCTCCTCTGCTAATGGCGACACCTTTCTGTCGTTGTGGATTGGCATCAGATCTCAAGACGAGCTGGACAGAGGCGAATCCAGGGAGGAGGTTCTACGGGTGCAGCAAGTATGGGGTAAGATTTCTGACTTTTCTGCTTTGATTTGTATACCATTCGACCATCCTCTCCTTCATCCCTCTCTGTTTTTGTGGTTGGATCTGTAGACAGATGGGGCATGTAATTTCTTCAGATGGCATGACCCAGTAGTTGACGAACATATGAAGTTTGTGCTGCTGAACTTTCATCGTCGGATTCGGGAACTCGAGAAGAGGCAAAATGGGCAAGGGTCCAAAGCTAATGGTTGTCCAGTGTTCATCTTCATTGTGATTGCTCTTATCTTTTCTTTCATCTGGATGGGATTGGGGATGTAAGAAGCTATTTGCTCAACCTTGCTGATGTAATCGTTTCTGTATTGTAGACTGTAACCCTAGAAAAATTAACCCTTCACGTTTTGTTGTTAGTTGTACGATTGGTCACTCAAAAAACCTAAAGCTCCACAATTGGGCACTTAAAAAATGTAAATGTCACATTTGGCAACTCAAAAACATGTAAAGGTCCACATCTGGTAACTGAAAAATATGAAAAGGTCCATATTTGGTCACTGAAAAACATGAGAAGGTCCACATTTGGTCACTGCAAAACATGAGAAGGTCCACATTTGGTCACTGAAAAACATGAGAAGGTCCACATTTGGTCACTCCAATAACATGAAAAGCCAGATTTAGAACAACACTTCAATACCTAACTGTTCTGCATTACACTATTTGACAGTTAAGTCGGAAACAAACAGATCACATCTAAGATTCATTCATAATTAGTGCATTAACGACTATGTTGTCCAAAAGAGCCATCCATAATTAACAAGTTCCTTCTCAATGGACTTGTATGACAAAATGGCAAATCAACATTGATTTGCACTTGTATGACAAAATGGCAAATCCACATTGATTTGCAAGAAGCCTTAGAGTTTAAAAGTTCAAAATAACCATTCACAATAACATAAATCTACTCTTCACAGCTGCTCTTCTTGAGTCAGTTGGCTTGCAATCTGTGAGAGTTGAGAGCCTTGACTTGATGATGGCCTTCGAGAACTTCCCTGCAAATTAACCTACATTAGTATGCTGGAAATTCTTAATAAGCCGGGGAAATGAAGAAAGTCATAAACATTTACATCTGGCATGAGTTGAACCACGTGTGGGGGCTGCCTAGACGAAGAAGTGGCTGCCTTTGCAGCTTTCTCTTGCTGCTTCTTCAATGCAGCAAGTCGGTTTCGCTCAGCCCTTTCAAGTTGCTGCTTCTTCTTTGCTTCTGCCTTCTCTTTCTTCCTTTCCTCTGCCTTCTGTTTCCTTGCTGGATCATGAAAAGCCTTGTTGTGGCCTAGTAGACCACAAATTTTGCACTTGTATTGCTTCCCTTCCGGTTTCGATGATTCTCTCCCACCTTTCTTTTGTTTCTTCTTGGCTTCTGCTTCTTCATCTAATCCCTTTCTCCTCTGTTTCTTTGGTCTTCCTCTCTTTTTCGAGTTTTGAACAGGAGGTATGCCACAATCTCCCAACTCAGACTGTGGCCAATATTCCTTACCATTGGTTGGCGAAATGGAATGCTCATATATGGCTGCTGCGGTTTCCTTGGTGTAACAATCTGCTACATAATCATACAATTGAGTGTTTCCCACACCAATTGCCTGGATTGCATGCTCACAAGGGATCCCAGTTAACTCCCATCGACGACAAGTGCAAGTCTTCGACTTCAAATTGACCACTACCTGCTTGTCATGCCACTTCACTTCAAACTGACCCCTTCCATTTGAAATAGCTGTCCACTTCACAGCTTCTTCTTCCCACTCCCGCAACTTCTTCTCAATTTTCTCCGTCAAAGGACCTGGCCACTTGCTGATCGCTTCTTGTCTACGAGCATATAGGAGCATCAAGTTCCTCCTAATCCCCTCCCACATGCTAATCGGACCCAAATCCCTTTCCTCCAATATAGTGTTGTTCCAACTCTCTACATTATTGCTACTGAGAATATCACAGCTGGTGTAAGTTAGGAAATGAGACCTGGTCCAATGATAGAAGGGCTTCTTAATCAGCCAATCGTAGGCTGGCTTATTAAGATCGGACAGCAGTTGCATATGATGTTTGAACTCAGCTACAGTTGTGGACCTAGCTGCTGTCCAAAATAAGTTCTTCAACTCTTGGCCACCTCCACAAGCACCCTTCAGATTTGTCCACAAGTGTCGTGCACAGTGTCTCTTCTCACAGTTTGGAAACATTTCGTCAAGTGCTGGCAATAGACCCTGAAGACAACAAACAAACACCAATCAGCAACTAATAAAATCACTTAATAAAATCACTTAATAAAATCAGCAACTAAATAGAGTTTTTCCTTGTTCTCTACTCCAACATGGGCAAATGCAACTGGGTAGTATTGGTCATTGGCATCCACACCAACTGCTGATAGTAGCTGCCCTCCATACTCGTGCTTCAAGAAACAACCATCGACAATTAACACCTGTCTACATCCAGCCTTGAACCCCACCTTGGATGCCGCGAAACAAACATACATCCTGTTGAAGCATTGTTCTCTCTGCTCAATGATAACGGTAGAGTTGGGATTGCTCCTCCTCAACTCTTCAGCATAATGGTACAAGGACCTATACTGATCCTTCAAACTCCCACGAACCGCCTCAATTGCTGCATGTCGTATTCTCCACGCCTTAGAGTTCTTCACGTCTTCTTTGTAGTCTTCTTTGACAATGTGCTTCAGCAAGGCCCTTTTCATGTTCCTATCACATGCCATCTTCTTACTTATCTTGGAGCCGAGGAACTTTGCAGTTGCGTACTTGACCTTGAAGGTCTTCCTACAATCAGGTGAGTGCTCAACCTTGCACTTCTTGATTTGGACAGAATCTTCGGTGCTCATCTTAGATGCCCAAATGTACCAATCACATGGAGGATCGCACACTACTTGCAGCCGCTTTCCATCGTTCTTTTTAAAGCGAACTGGCCTCTTCTCGACGAAAGCATGCTGTTTTATTGCATCTTTTAGGACTCCAAAGCTGCTAAACTTCTGGGAAGCAGCAAAGGTAGGCATCTCCATGTCTCGATCAACCCGGAATTCAGGAGATTCGTGTCCTTCATCAGAGTCTGATTCAGCAATGCTCCTACGATCATCAGAGTCTGGATAATCAGGAGTCTCCCTTTGTAGTTCAGGATAAGCATCCATTTCAAAGGTACCCATGTCGGCTTCCACCTCTTGAGTGATATTTGCTGCTAAATGTGCATTGTCCCTTGAACTATCTTCATCTGAATCCTCCAAATAGTCGCTGTCTTCATCCTCATGATAGTCAGAATCATCTCCAGCAACATTTTTCCCCTTTCTTCTCAAACTGGCAGCCTCCATTTCTTCAACTTCACTATCCAAGAGATCATCAAGATCATCAACCGAGAAAGCATACAGCTCGATGACTCTTCCCTTGCCGTTGGCCGCTATTGACATGCTCAGAATATCTTCATCATTGACAATCTCTGACATTGCATCGTTGCAAGGATCTTTCCAGAAGAACCTCGGCTCTTTAATCTTCCCACCACACGCCTCATATATGCCAGGAAGGTCGAGCACTGAGAGTTCGTCAATATCTGCATAGTCCCAAAACACGGTGGAGGTTTCATTGAGGAAATGTTTGCCGCCAACCTCTTTCACTTCATGGGACACATGAACTGCAAATGTGAATTCTCCACTGGAAGTAGCTGTTTGTTCAAAAAAAAAACAATTGAAAGGAGTTAATTTAAAAGGAAATGAGCAGTTATGGAGCAGCAGGTAAGTAGGTGGTCAAGTCCCACCATTTTCTATTAAAAGACAGAATAAGTCAAACCCTAAGGCTGGGATTTTCCTCATTCCCACAGAACCCTGCATTTTTCTATTCCTATTCTACCCAAAGTGATGTCCTCATCTCTAGTAAATGCCAACTGTGGAAAAGGACAACCCAAACCACCCATCTACCATCAAAACCAGCCATCTACCATAATGACAAGGGCGAAAACGACGAGAGACTTACCATAGTTAGGCTGAGTTTCATTTGGAGCCCGCACATGCCCCACCATGCTGCCTTCGGTGAAATGGTGACCTGGAAAACCAACAACAACATGCAATTTAGTATAAAAGAAAGCTAACAGTGAACCCCCAAAAGCAATAACACACACGAGATTCTTTCCTCTGCCCCCTATTCTTTTCTCCTTTTCAGTCTTTCCAGACAGGTCTCGAATAAACAAAGAAAAGGCAGAAACTCACCTTTAGGGTTTTGTTGACTGCTCAGAAAGTGGAAGGAGAATCGAATAAACAAAGGGAACCGGCCTCGTTGTCAGAGAGTGGAGAAGAATCGAAGCTTCGATCGATTTAGGGTTTGGGTTAACTGCTCGCGAAAGGGGGGAAGTCAGGCGCGCGCGATGGAGGAAGAAAACGGAAGGGAGGAAGGGAGGAAGGGAGGAAGGCTGCGCGGATGGAAGGGAGGAAGGCTGCGCCGCCGGCGAATTCGCGATCGGAGATTAAAATCTCCAGGAAGGAAGCTGCGCGATGGAGGAAGGCTGCGCGATTAGATTAGGGTTTAGTCCAAAAATCGTTGGGGTCTGGTTCTGTTTGGTTTTAGTTAGCGGGTTGGGTCTGTTCGGGTTTGGGTAGAGGTTTGGTTAGGTTTGGTTAGGTTTAGCTGACATGGCGGGTTTAAATGACGTGGCGGTCAATTTTAGGGTCAAAAGGTGCTGATTAGGCGAATCCGTCAGCCACGTCATCACTTAACGGAGGCCGTTAACGGCGTTGGACGGCAGCTAACGGAGAGTGACCATAAATGAACTGGTTTTGTAAAGTTAGTGACCACAAATGGATTTAAATTTTTTCAGTGACCAAACATGAACGCTTTTTGTAATGTTAGTGACCAACCATGCAATTAACCCATTCAAAAAAATAGCTAAACTAACGGAAAAAGGAAAGTTTGTAGAGAATAAAATTGAAAAGGAAAGAAATAATCTCATTCCCATTCCCTTGCCCTAGCAGCCACCTTCCTTTTCAATTTTGATTTTAAGATATTATCATAAATTGAGAAAAAAAATAGACAATGATTGATTTTGACTTTGCATTATTAGCTGGCCATTTCCGCTTTATGAACGGGTTTTAATACCGGTTAATCACTGGTTATTCGATAAACCGTGAACCTCTTGCTAATCCAGATCGATGTCCGGTTCGGTTTTAACAACATTGGTGCAAACTTCAAGCCTATATGAGTGGCTTTCGTTTGATGGGGTGTGTTAGTAATAAAGGTGAGCATCCGGTT